ATAAAAAAAAAAAAAAAACATAAAAAAAAAAAAAATAAAAAAAAAAAAAAAAAAAAAAAAAAAAAAAAAAAAAAAAAAACAAAAATAATAAAAACAAGAAAGAAAAGAAAAAATAAAGCTGGAGGTCGAAAACCCGAAAGGCGCGGCTTCGCAAAGAATTGAAGGGCTGCTAGGCTGAAAATCCGAAAGCGGCGCGGTCTAGGCAAAAGGTTAGGGCAAAGAGCCTGCTTAGAGTCGAAAACCCGAAAAGGGCGGCTACTAGCAAAGTTAAAAAAAAATAAAAAATAAAATAAAATAAAAAAAAAATAAAAATAAAAAGTTTGCTTTTCAAAAGGGTCTTCTCAGGAGTATATAAATCCAGTTTTTTCCAGAAAACCACTGAAATCCCTTCGAGTCAAAATTCACTTACAAGGAGAATTTTGAGTCTAATCGAGTCTCTAAATCGAGTCTCCATCACCAGTGGAAAAATCGAGTCATTCTCAAAAGTTCATTTTGAAAGCGTCACTCTTTGAGTCATTCCTCGAAAAAAAGAGAGGGGAAAATGTCAATTCAATCTCCAGGGCTTCCAAAACAACCCTAGAAAATGTCAAACATAATCGTTGAGAGGTAATTCTTTAATACCTCATCTCTACTCGGACCATCGTTTCTTCGATCCTTTCAGACGAGCGATGTCATCCACATTGTCCGTTTCCTCAAATCATATAAGTGGCTTTGTTCTCTTTGATTCCTCAATCGATTGGACAAGTACAATACCAATGTTTTGAAGTATTCCATGGTCAGCACCATTCTAAGAAAGTGATAAGAACCTTCCACCATTCTCCATCACAGAAGTATGTCTTGAAGTATTCCATGGTCAGCACCATTTAAGAAGAAATTCTATTTCAGCTAATAAGGGCATCAATTCTCTCAAGCAGGGGGGCAAAATCCTCCAAGTCGGATTCAGGGGCAAGTGCTAAGAAAAAACATACACAACCCAAGGTGGAACCCAACCAGCGTCAACCTCTTTTACAAAAACCCAGGGTAGAACCCGGTTAATGGTTAACCTTTTTCTTCCATAAAACCTAGGGTGAAACCCCCAACCAATAACCAACTATTTTTTATCCAAAACCAAGCCATTTGATCATTTCGACTTTAGGTGGACCCTTGGTTCTCAAAGAAAAAAAACAAAGATAAAACAAACATCTTTTTAAGTCCTCTAAGAGGCAAAACATCTTTTCAAGCCCTCATGTCCTCTAAGAGGCAAAATCACTTTTTAAGCCCTCATTAAGGGAAAAATCACATTCAGGCCTCAGAGGCCCGAAAAATCACTTTTAGGCCCCAGAGGCCCGAAAAATCACATTCAGGCCAAAGTGGCCCGAAGAATCACATTCAGGCCAAAGTGGCCCGAACAATCACATTCAGGCCAAAGTGGCCAGAAAAATCACATTCAGGCCAAAATGGCCCGAAAAATAACAATCAGGCCAAAGTGGCCCGAAAAATCACAATCAGGCACCAGAGGCCCGAAAAATCACAATTCAGGCCCCAGAGGCCCGAAAATTCACAATTCGGCCTAGGGTCCGAAATTCAAAACTCGGCCTAGGGTACGAAAATTCACAACTCAGACCAAGGCCCCACAATCCCAATTTGGCCCAAGGTCCGAGTTTTCGCCTTCAAAATTTGCTCCATCAGACAACCACTGGCTCTCATTTTTTTGATAGCAGTGGGGGCAACTGTTGAATACTCAAATTTGAGCTTCTCATGTTCGTGGTGGCATGTGAAACACTTTAAATGGAGAAACACGCTGCTACAGTGCCATGCCAATTAGTTTGACTCTTTGCTGCCAGCAACTGTTCTGCAAACAGTCCGGCCGGACCGGAGGCCATTTTGGACATTTACATGGAAGTATGCCATATGGTACTTAAACCGTCGTATGTCGCGAGGATTCGCAGAACTGGTCCCGGAATAATTTTGGAGGTCGCAAACTCCGGAAAAGCCCCTGGAGTGAAATCGGGCATCCCATCGCACACTTGCGGCGCCGGGCGCCTGGGCCACGATATTCTGGGATGGGGCGGCAGCGGCCGTACCTGGGCATTGCCGCCTCTCTCCCTCACCGGCTGAGCACCTTTGGACCGCCAGGCGGCAGCTTGCCGCCCCTCCAGGCGGCACCTTGCCCGCCCCGTAGCAACCCTCCCAGGCGGCATGCTTGCCCGCCCAGCCACGGCACACATAATTGACGTTTACCCATGACCGCCTCTGGACCGCACATGCCTAATAAATTAGACATTTTTCAGTCCAATTTTTGGACACCCCTGTATAGCTGTTGACGGGACGATCTTTTCTCCCACCACGCTCTTTTGCGATTCTTTTTACCGTTTTTTTGCATTTAAATTTAATTTTTTTATTTGCAGTGTTTGTTACTGATATTTGGACAACTAAAAATTGTGACAAATTAAAATTAATTAATTTCCCAAGCAAGGAGCTTAAAATCTGGAAGTTAAGAAGTTGGCGCCGATTAAATCAGGTACGCAATAAATTCTGGCCTATTTAATTTTTAAGTACTTCATGCATATTTCTCTTTCTACTCTTCAATAATTCATATAACTGCATAAGGATGCATTTCATGTTATCATTTTGGCAAATAAAATCTGCTTTAATAAAAACATGGATTAAGGTTAACGCCCCAATCCGCATTAAATGTTAATATACCGTTGTAGTTAAGCTTACATCTCTGACAATGTGTTAAAGAGTCCTTAGTTAATTCAATTAAACTATGGTTCGATTATGCCATTTATTTGTCGAAACAATCTTCGCCTAAATGTCCAATTAATCAATTTAATTTGCTGCTAACGGCTCATTTTAATCACGGTTTTTTGGCAACAGAGAAATTGACCTCACAGTGTTAATCAATCAATTTTTGGGCAAACTAATTGCCTACGGTCTAATCGATTTTTAGCAAACAAAATTGCTATATAAATGAGCGATTAACATTTTTTAGCCGACAAATCGCTTAAAATCAATCTTTTGGCAAAATTGCCTTAAATCAACCTATTTTCGGGCTTTAAAGCCATTAAAATCAACATTTTTGGCACATGGCCTAAAAATTCAATCAATCTTTGGCACGGTAAACATGCCTAAACAACAATGCCACAAAGCATTACACACTATGCCACAAAGCATACACCACTCATGCACAAAGCATTACACACTTCTATGACAAAGCATACACACTCATTTCACGGAAGCATACTATACACACACTCATGCATTAGCATACACCTTTTCAAAGCCTTCAAAGAAGGCCTTATCGATTCAAAGCCCTCTAAAAGAGGCCTATCGAACTACGTTGACTTTGATTTTCCATTCAAACGGAAGTACGTAGGCACGTCCGGGATTTCACCCCGGGCGGCAAGTCGAAATCACCAAAATCACTCAAACATTTCATTAATCCCTCATTTACCTTGCAAAACATTCATTCATCGGTTAGTTTATCAGCATGACATAGTCTCGGGATCCATCTCGGGTTTGCATACCATGCTTTACACATTGGGATAATTAATCTAGTAACTAGGTTAATTAAAATTGAAGTCATTCAGGGTTTTTTCCTAGTTTACCCTAAAATAATTAAACAAGGCGACTCACACACTCACGTGCATTTCTGTCCTTAATCATATGCATTCACATGCCTATGCTTCCGGGGGAGGGGTTCAAATCTTCTAGTTCTTATTCTAACTTCTTAATCTTGTTTATTTTCTTTCATTATCTTATTGATTATGGAATCTTTTATCAAAGTATTGTGAGTTTTATTTACAGTACTATGTGTAACTAAACTCTTATTACTAGAGGTTGATGTAAGCTTAATCTCTTTTCCAATTTTATGCAATTTAGATTTATTTTTCCTTATTCAAGTTATGATTTATTAATGAACTTAATGCTTCTAGCCAGGAATTTCCCCCTAGATTGGATTATTTCAATTTATCACTATCGGAAGAAGGATCTTTGATATGAAAAGGTTTAATAAAACACATGCAGAATAATTAACTTGATTTGCGGAAGCTATACGGGTTTGACTCTATGGGGGGGGTTTTCATAAGTTAAAGACCTTAGGTTATGAATTCACAGGACAAACCATAAAACTTAATGATTTAATTCAAGTTTGATTGCGCTATTGGAAGATAGGTAATTAGACCGAGTTAAAATAACTAACAATACATCGAGAGAGCTTGTTAGTGATTTTTGGGTTGTCTCCCCTACTTGAATAATTAAATTGATCAATGAACTAATTAAATAAATTAGATAGAGTTAGGTGAAATCAAAACCCCTAGTAGTTTTACTTCCTTGATTTCTTTAATCAATAATTGCTTGCTTAACTTCTTATTTTTGCTTGTTGAATTTAATTTCTATAAACAATTTCCATCATTTATCGTTTAAATAATAACAAGATAACATAATTTTGGTACTTGGTATACAATCCCTGTGGATACGATACTCTTACTCATCATATATTACTTGTAGTCTACTCATCATATATTACTTGTGGCGATTCGTATACTTGCGAAATAAGCTGTCATTGAAGATTGGTTTGCACATTAATGGACAATATATAGGCTTTAATATCGATCTTCCCAGTGATAACTAATTAGTTGGTCTCTTTATTATTTTACCCATTTATGAGTAAACGTGTAAATTGACTCGTGATTCTATTTAGATAAGTAAATCCTAACATGCTAAACCGAACATAAATACGTATATGAAACTAATAATAAAATCTATTTGGAAAGAAAAAGTTAGGATTAGCTCAATTACAATATTATAGGATTACACTTATTGGGTGCATGAACTGAATTTAGGTAAATCTTTCCCGAATATGAATAAGCCCCAACTGGTCTCCTAAATTACAAAGTCAGAACTTACCATGAAGGGAAAGTGTATGCAACTACAATCAAACCCGCGCTCTCTATAAAAAGAAACTGAGATAGCTCCACGCGCTCTCTATAAAAAGAAACTGAGATAGCTCCACTTTCCGCGGTACACAAAACCAGCAAAATGGCTTCTTCAATCTCTTACTCAGTGCTTATCTTTTTCCTTCTGCTCTCACCTTCTTGCATTCTTTCAGGTCCAATTGTCGACTCTTTTATCCAATGTCTGACACTCAATTCCAAAGTCTCAATTCCTTTCTCAACTTCATTGTACACACCAAACAATTCCTCGTTCTCTGAAGTCTTACAATCCACCGCTTGGAACCTCCGTTTCTTATTACCCTCCGTTCTTAAACCAGAATTCATCTTCATCCCGTCACACGAAACCCATATCCAAGCTGCCGTTATCTGTTCGAAACAGTTGCCTATCCATCTTAGAGTCCGTAGTGGCGGCCATGATTTGGAAGGTTTATCTTACAGATCAGAAATCGACAATCCCTTTTTTATTATAGATATGTCAGCACTCCGTTCTGTTGACGTTAATATTGACGATAACAGTGCATGGGTTCAAACGGGCGCAACCCTTGGGGAATTGTATTACAGAATTGCAGAAAAAAGCCAAACCCACGGCTTTCCGGCAGGACTTTACAACAGTGTAGGAGTCGGGGGTCATATTACTGGCGGCGGGTATGGTGCAATGCTGCGAAAGTACGGTCTTGCTGCCGATAATGTAATTGATGCTCAGATTATTGACGTTCATGGCAGACTTCTTGATCGTCAAGCTATGGGCGAAGATCTTTTCTGGGCAATTAGAGGTGGCGCTGGGGGTAACTTTGGAATTATTGTTTCTTGGAAACTAAAGTTAGTCCAGATTCCTTCTACTGTTATCTTTTTTAAAGCTACAAAAACTTCAGAACAAAATGGAACTAAAATTCTTCAACGGTGGACTGAAGTCGCTCACAAGCTCGACGAGGATCTTTTCATTAGAGTTCTAATCTCACCTGCTAATATTGGTAATAGTACGGTACGAACCGTATCAACTTCTTATGAAGGTTTCTTTCTTGGCGATTTAAACAGACTTCTCAAAGTTATGGAAAATAGTTTTCCTTCTCAAAGTTATGGAAAATAGTTTTCCTGAATTGGGTTTAGCCAGAAATGATTGTACAGAGACGAGTTGGGTCAAATCGGTTTTATATACAACCGGTTATCCAACTAATTCAAAGCCTGAAGTTTTACTGCAGGGTAAATATTTATTCAAAACTTCCTATAAATCAAAATCAGATTTTGTTAAAGAACCCATTGCTGAAGCGGCATTGGAAGGTCTTTGGAAGATACTCTTGGAAGAAGAAACACCATTTATGATATGGACTCCTTTTGGAGGGAAGATTTGGAAGAAGAAACACCATTTATGATATGGACTCCTTTTGGAGGGAAGATGAATGAGATTTCAGAATCTGAAATTCCATTTCCTAACAGAAACGGGACTTTGTTCATGATTCATTATGCTTCTAGTTGGCAAAATGGACAAAAGAATGAAGCAAAGCATATTGATGGGGTAAGAAAGCTTTATAATTATATGGAGCATTTCGTTCCTAATAATCCAAGAACTGCTTATGCTAATTACAGGGATCTTGATTTGGGTATGAACAGCAAGAATAATTTTAACGTTACCCAAGCTAGCGTTTGGGGTATTAAGTATTATAAAGATAATTTTAATAGATTGATTCAAGTGAAGACTGAGGTTGATCCTGATAACTTTTTTAGGCATGAGCAGAGTATTCCACCTCTTCCTGTTTCTTAAACAAGAAAAAGAAAGCCAAGAGGTGGATTTAAGGACCGAATTAAGTGTTGTTTGGGTTTAAGTGAAAGAGGAATAATAATTTGTATACACAAATTTATATATGTTATATTATGTTGAAAAGTTAATTAATTTAATAGATAATTGTATTTTTTTAAAAATAATGAATAGTAATCTACCTTTAGCCAATGGACCAAATAATGAATTGGATGAAGATTTAGGAACTTTAATAGTAATCTACCTTTTAGCCAATGGACCTTAATATAGATGGCTAAAGAGATCTGCACATATGATCGGACGTCATAAATTCATATCCCTCTACTCTAATGGCTAAAGGGACAATTTAACAAATGTCGAAAATAAGAATTCAAATTAAACAAAATGTAAGAAACGTTTAGAAATTAACATAATATCAATTTTGGTAAAAAAAAAAAAAATTACGTAATACTAAAAGTAATCTTAAAAGAAAAGGTTTATGTGATTCAACCTGACAATCGGCAATAGCGATAGTCATCTGTGATCGATTTTCCGCCACTGATGACCGACTTTCGACAACGACAACAACAACAGCAATGATAAAGGCGACGACAACAATGGTGATAACAGAATCGAAGACGATGACAGTAACAGCGATAAAGATAACAACATAAGGGTAAAATAGCAAATAAATAATGAAAATGACATTTTTTTTTAATATTTAAGGTTAAATTGAGGTTTTTTAAAATAAAGTTTCAAAATATGACATTTATTACAATAGCCCGTTTAGTTTTTATCTTTAATCGAGTTTGTAATTTGCATTGTTATCTACTCTCTTACGGGTTGACCATGGTACATAATTTTTTCTCTAAAAAAAAAAAAAAAAAAAAAACTCTAATTTTGTTTTCCTTTTTAGTTTATCTCAAATTACAAATTACTTAATCCATGTCTTTGAAAAATATATAATTGTGTATTCTACAGCTTGCCACCATTGAATAAAGTAGTCTTCCTTAAAATCAACATTTAGCGGTTAAATGCATATTAAAAGATGAAAACATACTCGTGCATTTGTTAGTCAATTAAGCTAAGGGCGCGCCTCTTTACTTTTAATCCCATTTCACAGCCAACCTCCACCTCGCTCAAAAAAAAAGAAAACTAACATTGCTTGCTCTAATCGGAATACCCGCTACAAACCCTAAATGCTTGTAAAATAGTTAAAGGTTCTCTGCTATTCATAATTCTCATTGAGCAGTACCTTTTTTGTTTTGTCAGTTCTCCATTGATATCTTGGTAATGGTTTTACTTCCATCCTCCTAAGCAAACCAAAGAAAGCAATTAGTTTTTGGAAAGATGTTCTCAATTAATTTCCAAGCTCTTGTAGCATTGGCTTATGTGTAAACTAGAGATATAAGCGGAACAAGTATTTTAGGATTCTGCTCAGCACTGATCAATTAAATGAAAATATGAATAATTATAAATAGGTTTGGAATGGGTATGGTTAGTGAAATTACAACTCGTAAAGGACACAACTAGATAGGGGTATAGATCGCTAGGTACCCATGACTCATTACCTGCTATATTAAATGGTTTTGATAATGGGTGCCATGGGTAGCTTACTGATTATCAGTAGAAAGATGTATTTTGAATAAGTTCATATTTAGATAGTTTAAAATTTATAAATACTCAATCCTTTTAATGAGTTCTGAACGAGCATGGGTAGTGAAATTCTAAATGAATATAGATAAGGGCAGCCCAAAAGTGATGGCTAACCACTTGCTTCTATCTCTAGTTTAAACCTAAGTTTTATATTATAATTATTCATAATTCCGCGCTTCGAGCGCGGGGATTTACATATTATTTGATCATTATTATCATTGAATTACTTTGATAAGTTTTTAATGTGCAATTTTATATTGAAATTTTTTTTATTAATAATAATAGCTAACACTCATATTTAGTCATAAATTGATGAATATTTAAAATTTAAAAATATTGATTTTATTTTTTATATTTAAATTTAACATAATAGAAATAATTGATACTTTTGTATAATAATTTAGATACATTATGAATCTAAATTTGAAATAGATATTGTAAATTTAAATGAGTTTTAAGGATAAAACTATAATAAAGAATTTGAGATTTCTCTTTTTACACAGAACTCTTCTTTCAGCATTATAAAATATTATTTAATTATTTAAATTTTAATAAATAATGTTATTTTCCTATTTATCTTATTGTTGAAATATTATAATGTATTCATGCAACTACAACTATATTAAATATATATATGACGTTTTTCTATAAAAAAAAAATCACGTTTCATTATCTTTTAATAAAATCATTTTCTTAAAAAAAATTAAGAAAGTTAAATTATAGAATTTAAAATTTTGATTAAAATCTCTTTTTTCTAATCCTAAACTAATTTTTTTAGTGTGTATAATCAAAATTTTAGATAATTTATTTCACATGCCAATAAATATCACAGCTTGCCAATAAATATCGCAGCTATTTGATTTGAAATCTGAAATTAGTTAGTCAAGTCATGAAAAATATAATTTATGATAATTAATAAATTTGTGATATATTAATTTAAAATGAACCTATTTTGCAGTAACATTATATGTAGTTGTAGTTCTGTATTATATATTATATATACTCTAAATCTTCACTTGAAAAAATAAATAAATAAATAAAAGAACATCCTTAGAAAAGAAAATTAGATCTTATTATTATATGTATGATAATACATCCAATGGTCACGTTTGAACCTGTCTGCTCCCACCAACCCAAGCCTTATAATATTAATATATATATATATATATAAGGAAATTAACAGGATCTCATCTCAGGATCATGTGGAGGGCTATTCCACGACCATACCCATTGTAAACTCTGATGATTCTCATACATATGTAAAGATAGAGAGCGAGAAAGCCTCCTTGGTTAAGGATAGCTTCAATCAGAAAAATTAAGCAAAAAACTATAAAGAGATAACCAAATAAATACGTGCAAGTGTTGCCGACAAAAACTGGAATAAATAAAATTCACTTACTATGCAAAGAATGATCTGACTTGATAGTAAGTATACCAGCTAGGAGATGTTTCTAAATGAAAATAGTAAATGAATACACAAAAGGTTAACTAAATCCATTGAAGAAAAGGTATTATGAAGAGTAAAAAAATACCGCCAATTGTGTTAAAATAAAATGCCATATCACGTACTTCACGTACTTTTGCAGTTCTGCAGCAATTAATTATTTAGATTTAGTAAGACAAATTGCCAATAGCGAGTTAAGAATATAAAAAATTTAGTATATGCTTTGCATGGTGAAGTAAAACATATCATTTTCACAACTATGCAATCATAACACTTTCTTCGCCAGTCTTCATGCAAGAGACAGCCTTGATGCAAGAGATACAAAGCCTATAATACCCAAAGACAGAAAAAAGAAAAGAAAAAAGAAGCAGCCAGCCAAAACTCATGAATAAATTCACTAAATATATTCTCAACTCTCCGAAAACTATGAATATCTAATTAAATAGAGTTGTAGATAGACACAAAAATCAAAAAAAACCGAAAACTATGAATATCTAATTAAATAGAGTTGTAGATAGACACAAAAATCAAAAAAAAAAAAAAAATCAAAATATTTTTGAAATCACATCTATATATATATTATATATATTTATATATATTATATATTAAAAGATCTGATATATATATATATATATATAAAAGATGTAGTGTTAGAACTTTCTTTTTTAGAAAAAACTTATAAAAATTAAAGATTAAATGTAGATAGATAATTCTTTGCCTCCTCAACGTCGGGCAGTTTTCATTTCTTTGACTTTTGCTTCGGATACATAATTTAAGGACTTTTTGGTTTTAGAATTCAAATCACAAAAAGGAAAAGAGAATTATAAAAAATGATATTAGATAGAGTATAATTTTAAACAATTCAAACTGTAAATAGATAATTATAATTATATGTAGATAATTCAAGAATTTAAATAATTCAATATGGATAATTCATAGCAAAATAATAATTAAACACAAAAATTGAACAAAAACTTAAAAATTTTTTAAAAAAGAAAATAGAATCCTAGAGAAAGAGAACGCGCTGAGCTTTCTCTCTGTTTCAACTTTTATGTTGTACGTTGATTATATTCGTTATTTGTATTCGTTCAATTCATTATGTCATTATTCATTTTTACTTATTATTTTTACTCATTTTTATTTTTTTTATATTGCATATTGATTATAATTTTTATCTTGTATTATTTAGATATTTATTATATCGTCGTTTATCTAAAAGTCATTATAACTTGTATATGTATAATTCTACAATATCACCTAATAAATACATTTTAATATATATAGATATATAGATATAATACCAAAATATTATATATATTTTTAAAATTAAAGATATATTTTTTAAATTAAATTTTTAATTTTTTCTCATCCTACACACACATATGTTCCAATTTATTTTAAATAAGAATTTTTAAAAGTAAAAATTTTAAAATTTTAAAGGCTTAATTATATATATTCTATTTTTGAAAATTATTTTTTATTTTTTAAAAAATACATCTAATCAAATTATACAAACATAAAGAAAAAATAGTATCATAAAAGAATTTACTTTTTTTTTTAATTCTCTCCTAAATAGAATGTTTACATTATAATAAAATATAATCAAATATTCAAAAATATATTCTAATTTTTTTTTTTTATGACGTGTATTGCAGGTTTCCATTGCTCATTTAATATTCGTAGTTTATACTTACTTATTTTCATATAGAATATTAACTATTTATTATAATTTTTCTCCTATATTGTGTATATCTTTTTAATGTTAGAACTTCCTCTTTTATTGTGGATGCATAAATAGTTAAAAATAAGTTAAATATTTTAATCAAATTAAATCTACCTGAGTTTAGGTAATTTATATTTAAAATCATTGATATTAATAATTTGTATATCTTTTAAGTTTAAAAATTATTTATAAAGTTTATCAATTTTAAAAAGTTTAATTCAAATACAATCAATTTAATAAATAAAAAATCTGAACTTCAGTGAGCTTTTACTTATACTAAATATAAAAAATATATATGAATTTATATATAAATTATATAGAATTCATTTAGACCA